AAAAAAAATTCTCAAAGATACTGGCATATAGAGGGGAAAAAAACAACTATTTAGTTAATGCAGATTAACTAAAGCAGCAGTTCTCAACTTGTCAGTCACGACCCCTTTGGGGTAGAACAACCCTTTCACAAGAGTTGCCCGATTCATAACAGTGGCAAAATGACAATTATGAAGTGGCAATGAAAATAATTTTATGGTTGGGGGTCACCACAACATAAGGAACTATATTAAAGGGTTGTGGCATTAGGAAGGTTGAGAACCACTGAACTAAAGGGTGCATTTCTATGTCCAGTATGAGTTTTCCCATAATTTTCCAGAATTTACCTACATCATAGGAACAAGACTCAGATAAAAAAGAAAGTCAAAACCCACCTGTGAAGGTGTGCTCGTGAGTTCCATCTTTTCTTGTGATTTCTCCTTTGCTAGTCGAGCAGCTTCTTTAAATTCCTGAAACTTTTCTGCAAACTAAATGTATAAAGACTATATACATTAACCAAGTAAAAACAGCCATTTTCACCTTAGCTTGAAAAAAAAATCTGACTCTTTTCACTGATAACACAGTCCCCAAATCAGTTAAAGGTGAAATATGAAAATGAGAGAAAACACCTAACATTTGCTTGTATGAAGGTACTTTTCACAAATCTCATTACAAAATATCACATTATAACTTAGAATTTGGTGCCAGCTTACTTATATGTCTCCTTGGTTGATCAGGGCAGCCCTTGTGGCCCAGTGGTTAAGCACTCAGCTGCTGGCTGAAAGGTTGGCAGTTTGAACCTACCAGCTGCTCCATGGGAAAAAGCTGAGACAGGCTGTTTCTGTAAAGACTGCAGCTATGGGAATCCACCTGGGCAGTTCTACTCTGTCCTACGGGGTGGCTATGAGTCAGAATCGACTAGATAGCAATGAGTTTGCTATCTCTTTGTTGATCAGAAATAATTTACAAAGACCAAGGTGGTGTCAGCTGCAGTTGGAGTGACAGCAAGAAAGATAAACATGGTATGTTTTGTTTATCACCAAGAAAATTGAATTTTTAAAAGTATCTACTCCAAAACGTCAGAGTACTTAGAGCACACATTTAACATTTATTAGAGCATAACTCTCAAATTATATAAGGCATTTTATTTTCAATAATGTAAATGAGTCACATTTACTCTTATTATGGGCATTACTAAAATGCTATTTCCAAAGATTCCCAAATAGTTAATGAACAGTAGTGCAAGGAATAACATTGCACAAGTCCCTAAAATTTTGCAACAAAGGTACTGTGCATTAAAATGCAGATTTTAAAAACCCCTAAGAACCTATAAAACATCCTGACCCAAAGTAGAAACTATGTTTTAGACATGGAAGCTAGCCTAGCAGTATCATCCAAGAGAATAAATCAGGGATATATGTATAAAATTAAAAAACCATTTTTTTAAACCTCAACATACTTTAAATGACTATTAGAATTGACCATAAAAAACTGAAATGACAGTTCCCTCCTTAAATCTCATAAGTTGACCCTAATATTTCCATTTCAGGAAGGATGGTGTTAAAGGAAAGGCACACCATATTCTGACCTGCCATGAGAAGAGGGAGGAGAGTTGTTTTTTTTTTTTTTTT